CTCTGCGTCTCTTCCCGCAGCCAAAGCTTGGGCCTAGAGCGCAGGCGGTCATAATCGCTACAGACAAAGGTAATCTTTTGCGTCTCCAACCGTCTGCGCTCTAAAGTGGAGCCATGGTCGGGGAAGGGACGCAGTATAGTGGTGCCCCTGAACACATAAACGCCGGTGCTTCACTGAGCCATGAAAGTTGTGACGCAGTCACTATAACATGCCCTACTCTGCGTCTCTGACTTGACATCGTAAACGGACAACTCTCACACAAACCTGTCGATTGCGTTCATCCTGAATGCGCGTGATTTGAATCTTCTTACGGCCCATTGATGTGCGCGCTCGTGTGTTCACACCAGTGAAAGATGTAAGTTGAACTGAAACGAGAATTGTAAGAAAAAACCATGTGTGGAGGGGGAAGTACTTCAGACAATGAAATCGACGTACAATTACACGAATACACACGAATGAATGCACACACAACGCACGTAGTTTGACGTCTAACAGTATCGGAAATAGAGAACGTAAGTGCGATAACAAAAGCGAGATAAGGCCATCGAATGAAAGTACATCACAGGAAAATGGACGAGCAAGTAGAAAATGTTCTCAAAGGGCGCTGCCCTGATCAGTTCAGGGTTTAATTTAGGGTCATGGTAAACTTTCAGAGAACAATAGGAGCTTCGATGTGAAGCATTCAAAGAAAAGGGCAATGACAGTGAAGGCAAGGTGATCACTGGGCTCAGAGAATCGGGGATAATCGGTAAACGCGATAGTAATGACACATGTCCTGCACCAACAGAGTCATAAGAAAGTCCTTTGAAGGAATAACAGGGATATCTGGGGGAAACACGCATATATAGACAATGACTTATAAATAGATAATTCCCCATTACGGTTTAGAGGTCCGAGGAGGGGGCTTAGGCAGCGTCTCTGTGTCTCTTCCTCTTACCAAGACTGAGGCGTAGTGGAGGCCGTATCTCCGCTGGGAGACTATCCCTCGGCGACTCTGATCGTCTGCGCTCTAAACCCTAATTCTTGTGTAAGGAACGAGCACAAAGGCGCCGTAGAGTGCCCCCTCCCCGCGAACAATTTTTAGTGTTTCCACTATAATGTATGGTGGTCCTGCAACGAAATGTAGCAGATCTGTGCGGGGTTAAAGCTAGGCGGGGAAGAACGGCTTCCCTCAAATAAACCTCCCAAGTCAACCGAGGGATCATTTGACGAGAGCTGAAAGAGCGTGAGGTTCAGGACCACCCCCCAAAAAGCCCCCCCAAGAACTGGGACCTTTGCGGGCATTTTGGATAGTGTTGAGAGGCCATCATTGGCCCTTGTACCCTCGTGGAGAGGCAGAGCACAAGACGACAGTCAGACGGTGAGTCCTCGTACACGAACAGTTTTAATGCCATCAGCATGCCCCCCCAAGCCCTCCTTAGCCATGCGCTATCCGCAAAATTCACAAATTCCCATGTTCGTGAACATAAACGAGAAGCTCTCCCCCTGTAAAAAGAGCCACACGTCCTGCAAAGAAATACAGTACTGCTGAAGCACAAAGGCGCCTAATAGCGAAATAAAAAACAAGCTTCATTTTAGGGCACTAATAGAATCCAATAATTCAAGCGAGATTCCTCGTGAGCTCAATTTAATTATACTATTATTATTCAGATTATGGGAATATTGTAGAAAAAAGTTTCTGAACTTACTACGGTAAGATTGCAATTAGAAAATCGAGCACTGCATATGCCCTTGGGGCATGCGAACAAAGAAAAGCTTATTAAAAGTGTATAAAAAAACAAATATTGGCTGAACAAAGAGGGTGTACAAGTTCGTGCAAGGACCGGAATGTTCCCTTATAATCAGGGATGGGACGAGCTAGTCTTTTGAAGATGACGTAATATTTAGAGAAGAACAGAGCGAACAACGGAATGATAGCTAGAGAGAAGGGGCCAGAGAGGTTTAATCAAATAATTAAATTGACAAAATAAGGAATCGGGTTAGTGTAACAGAAATAGGAATATCTAACCAGAACTGGTTGACAGGCTGGACGGACACGCTTCCATTCTGGTGACAATGCGTGATTGGAACTACCCCGCCCTTTTTCCCACCCACTGTTTTTCTTGTTTTAATGTGAGCGCTTGTGTATGTGTATGTTTTTTCAGTCGACAGAAATACTAATTGAGGTCGATGACGCACACACTCACAGAAACTCAGAGGGGCTCGAAGTTGTCCTCGTCTTCCTCTGGGGCTCAATGAAGCGCGCTAGCGACGACGACGAGGGAGCCCGACGACGACGGCAAACTCAGTGCTGTTGCGGTAGATGCGGCGGAGCAGGGCGAGGGGAAGAGATTTCTGCCAAGCTCTAACTTCTCCCGCCTTCCTCGCTAGATCCATGCATTCTCTCGTCGCTGACATTTGTCGGCGTATCCATCGCCAACATGCTCACTCTAACGCCCCCGTTCACAATTTGCTCAGCGTCTCCTCATTCCATCTTCACGCACACACACACACCACACAGGCACTTCTGGAGCACAGGCTAGAGCGCTAAGTGACGAAGTGTAGGCGTGACGTCAGTGGTCACCACGCACCAACCAGAAAGATGAACTTTTAGAGATGAGAGCTTAGCCCAGTCCATAGATGTATTTAGTCCATGATGTCCAGGAACATTTTCCAAAATACAGCAATTCTCCAAAAAAAAATCGACCAGTGGCGGGAACAGGGCACGAAAAAGGCCGTTAGGAAAATTTCTGCAAAATTCGCCTCTAGTACGACCTCCCCTTTCCCCATCCTACCTTCCATACCCAGAAACTCTCCCAATTTCTTATCATTCAAGTTTCCAAAAATTATTCAGTTCTCTCCCCCCCCCCCCCCGAAAAGGAATCCCGTGTACTGCGGCGAGGGGCGATATATAGCATGGATGGAACAGGTGAAACGGAAAAATCCCAGCAAAGTCAAGAGCCGGAAACATTCTGCTCAAAGATACGACCTCTTCCCTCTCCCTCCAGATCCCCTCTCTGGGGATTCCCAAAGTACGACGTGTCCCGTGGGAGGCTGATCAACTATCAGAAATAGCATCGTCGAGTGGAAAAAGGAGAAAACGACTCTTCCATGCGTTGATAATGGGCCAGGTCGCATGTGGGGATCCTCAACAAGTGGTAGTTTTCGATCGCAGGAGAAAAAGGGATCTCCCCCTCCCTCACCGCTTCGCGATACTATTCAGTAAAGTGATCGGCTCTGCCATGTAAAGAGGATCGTACAGAGGGAGGAAATTGAGGGGAGCGTATTTGGTAGGAATTCCTAGCGTCAGCACGTGCCCTGGAAAATTGGAAAATTCCCGATGTACGATACAGCCTGCTCGGTCTAAATCATCGTTGAGGAATCCCTAAGAGGGGAGAGGGTCTATTCAAGTCGTTGGCGTGGGAATGGGTTCGGTAGGTTCGGTATTCGAAGAGGGCAAGCAGTTGGAAATATGTAGGGTTTTCTCTGCTTTTTGAAAGACTATTTACCTCCCCCCGGCCCATGCGTACTCTTCAGTCAACAGTTTTTTTTAGGAAATGCAATTAAGGCGAGGTGATAAGAGATAAATCAGGGATTCTACAGGTTGAAGGGAGTCGTATTGGAGGCAGCGATGAAGGAGGTCGTGATAAGCGCGATCGCTGTCGCAAGACATGGGCCCTTTTCTATCATACGTCTCCTGCGCTGCCTTCTTGCACCTCGCTAAAGATTCACCCCAGCATTCCCACCATTTTCATTTTTTTCAAGTTTTTCTTTGTCGACTCAGAGTCGTGCATGTTTTTCAAATATTATAGTTCGAACGGGATGTTTGGTGAAATGGGTAAAAAAGGCAAGCGGAGTGCGGCCATTTTTGCAGAGCGAATACGACCCCTCCTCAAACGATCAAACACCAAATAAGACCCCCGCTGCGGAATTTCACAACACCGTAAGACGTGGTCTAGTCGCCATGGGGACCGGTCAAAGGCGATGCCATCGATGAGTGACGACTGCTGGATGAGCGGAGGTGAGCTGTGGTGACATTAAGAAGATCAACGAGCACTCACGACGACGTGAACAGAATAACACCTGATATGTGCGTAGGTAGCCAAAGATAGCCGTCAGTTATTAACGGGGTAAGCCGATTACGTGAGTAACATAACTGCTACTTTCTAGGAAAAGTTAAAAGGCCAATAGTCAGTTCCTCTTTGTTATTTTGTCATCATAAATTGTAACCAATCTGAATAACGTCATGTATTGCTTACCTACTGGAATGAAAGCTTGACTGTGAGTGCCAAGTTATTTTGAGCGTGAGTTTTCCTGGGTAATAGGTATTTGGGGCGCAGTTCGGCGGCGAGGGAGGGGGAGGGGCGTTTTGCACTTCCCATTAGTCCGGTTTGCATCCCTACACTGTTGAAACCTGTGAACTCCTGTGAAGCAGGAGCAGGCTCATCGATCCACCATGGTGAAACCTGTCAAGCCCATGAAAAGGCTCTCTGGATGGGTTGACACGTAGAAAGGAAGTAGCAAAAGTGCAATATGTCCCCTCCCCTCCCAGTTGTCGAACTGCATCGGTACCTGGCGTTTTCAGAGGATCTCTTCCCGTACCTCTTCCTTGATGAGTCTTATAGCAGGGAACACACGGTAAAAGGGCAGATGTAGTAGAAAGAGATAGCAGAGCATAGAAAGTTATAGAGCTCTGTTGTCAGTCAGCTGTCATGAGCATTACTCCATAAACTACTGCCCCCATTTATCCTGTCGATGTATCAGAGAACCTCCTATCACGCTCCGCAACCGCTCGCGCATCATCAAGAGTGCCCACGGTAAAAGTGGGAAGTGGTCAATAAGGTCCAAATACATTCGAAAGGAAAAAAGTATGAGGGTCGTCTAGATGCGGTCGAAGCCACAGTGCATCACAGCTTCATGATTAGGAGAAAATGAGAAAAAATCTCTTTGTCGGGATGGGGGGCAGGTGGAGGTGACAAACAAGAAAAAACAACAAAAAGTCGCTAGGCAGAGGAAGGGGGTAGGGGCATTCCTAGTCAAGAGATGTTTATCTCTGTGGATCTAGGAATTTTGGAGAAAGAAAAAAATTATTTTTTTTGTGTTTTATATTTATTTATTTGTGTCTCAATGGAAATTCCAAAGTCGGGGGAGGGCTATATTCGGGGAAAATTCTCATTACGATGATGAGCGCTGATTGAAGCCAGGTGTCAGAAATCAGTTGATTACTGTGAGCTGCTACATCTGAAAACCTACCAGTTTGGCCTAGGCCAAGAACCTCTAGGCACTCTCCGCAACCGCTCGCGTACCTTCCATAGTTTTGATGAAGGGAAAAAACGGTCAGTGTGAGATCATAAGGAGAAAAGAGGTAGTCCTTAACAATAAAGTTAGTCGGGGCGTGTCAGCGGCATGTGGGTTTTGGCACAGGGGCCAGCCTCTTTTTTCACCACTTATTGCAGGCCGAAGCCGGAAAAAAGCTGGCGCCGTGCCAAAACCGACGCATCATTGGCACGCCCCGACTGACATCAGCGATAACATTTGTAACCAGCGGTATTTCAGGAGTAAATTCCGACTGCAGATAGGAATTCTCCACCCTAAATCATGAATGGGAGTAAAATCGGAAGAGACCCTTCCAGAGCATTCGATTTCCAGACAAACGGGTAAACTACCGTACCTATACAGAGTTATATATAAGTTTTCCTGTGAATGCACTCTGTGCACGTTTGAGGGCTCATGGAGAGGGGGAAAAGAGCGGAAGGCAGATGAAAGAAAAAAAAATGGAAGAACAAACCGAAACCGAACTTAGTTGAAATTATATGCAGCAAAAAAGGATACAATAAAGCGGTGAAGAAAGGGTCAGAGAAAAAATGAGGATGAGGCAAGAGACGCAAAGAAAAGGACAAAAAAAAGATGTGAAGGAGCCATTGGAAAAGAAAAAGAGAAATTAGTGAGGGGTAAATAATGAATTCATTAGAAAAAGCGTAAACAGACACAAATGAGCATATTAATAGATGAACTACCCTGGGCACATCACAGTTGAGGAGCTCCAACAGGAGAGGGAGGGTCGTATTTGGTCGCAGGGGAGGGCTTCGTATCAGAACGAAATTTGGGGCGAATAGAAGGCAAGTCGGAGCTGGCACACAGCGAAATTGGAAGAATTCTAGTAATGAAAAAAGGGGTTGGTGTTCAGCTAAAATAAGAATTCAAGGAATGAAAAGAGAGACAGAAAGAGAGAAAGAAAGGAAGAAGAAATAGGGCAAAAAGAATGTAAAGGGATAAGAAGGAGAAACCAAAACAAGAAACAAGTAATGAAGAAACGACGGTAAGTAAACGGAAGGAAGAGACTGAATGAAGGAAAAGGCTCATATATGTCATAAGGAGATAAGAAGCCCATCAATCAAAGGGGAGAGAGAGAAGAAACCATGCAAATCGGCAAGGTTTCACAAAGGACAGACAGGAAACGAAATACCTTACATTATTCTTAAAATTCAAATATGAACCTTCTAACAATAGGGGCTTTTGCGGGGGAAAAATTTACGTTGCAGCTCGGGAAAATGGTGAAAAAATTGGAAATTCAATTCAAGGAATTGACAAGGCAAGGACACGAAAAAGTGTCCAGTGAATTCTGAAATGGAGTCAGCGAATAATCAAAGGTCAGGCCTCATCCAGACAGATTTGAAGGATGCGCCATGTCTTTGACTTCCACAAACGTATGGAACTTCACATGCAATGGCAAAGGCTGTAATTGACCCTCTCGAGAAAGTCTGTGAACTAGCGATTCTTTTTTTGAGGGCCGAGTCAGTGAGGACAAGGAATTGCCATCCCGATGAGAGGACGCCGACAAGCACAGACTTAGACGCACCGCCTATTTCACCCCCCCCGCTCCTCTTATGTTATCCCAGTAACAACGCAATTTCGACACCTTGAATCCTATACACCACGTAAGAGAAACATTTAGCCAGCTTACTACCTTGAATCGTGAGAGAGCCCCCCTCCAGCCCCCACCCCTCCCCAACGCAATCAAAATTTACCCTGTAATACACCCCCCCCCATTATCAACCCCTATCCTACCCAAGAGTCTTTCTTCCCAAATTCCTCCACTTCCTACCACTTTTTTTCAAAGACTGCCGTCGAGCGCGGGAGGGGGGGGGGGGGAATATAGCCGGCAACCTAAACAGTGGAAAGGTAAAACCGACTAAAGGTCAAGCGAGACGAGAACAAATTTTTCCTAAAGCATACGACCTTATCCCTCCAGCGCTCAATGTACCGACTTCCCCCTCGCTGGAGTTCCCCAACGTACGACGTGCTGTGGTCACAAGCCCTGCTTTGGCCGGATAAGCCTAAGGTAATAATTCGAACGAAATCCATCATGCAAAAAAACGGCCTAATTGAGTTTTTACGGGACATTATTGGGCTCAATAAAACGTTCGTCGTCAC